GATGGAGTGAGCAGGGGTGGAGTTTCAGAGACAGGGCGGGGGCAGGGCAAGGGTGTTCAGTTTCGTGCAATTAGAAAGTTGGCAACCCTAATTTTAACTGTAGAGCCGGCAGAATAGAAATACATTATGCAAACAGTAGCTATGCTCTGCTTCTTGCCAATACTGTTCAAAATCATGCTGACAGCACACCATGAGGTAATGCTATAAATAGACTCCACTTCAAAGAGTAATGGTAGTACTGTTCTATACAGACAAATGTGTAGATGTACATGCAAAAAAAAAGCCAGGAGGAATGGATAATGTGCATTTGTATTAAAAAAGAATCTGCAACTCCATACAGTCGAATAGCTTTACTATTTGACTTTCTTAGGATTTTCTATAGCACCCATCAGCATAGTAGCTAAGTGCTGAACTAAGTGGTCCTCAGCACAATCTGCTGGGGAATGGGTATCAGGAATGGTGATTTTAAATGTGTCTTTTTCCCAAGTAGGGCGCCATAGTCATTAATGTGTTTGCCACATAGCACAGCAGGAAACCAGCAACTCATTTTATAGGCATAAATATACAGTACTATCACTGAACAATTATCAAAGGATTTCCTCTTCACATCCTACTGGACTGCATGAATGCAGTACCTCAGTCCTGTACACATTTAGATAGTCTCAAACTCATAGTAATTTAATATACAATATTAGCTCAAATAACAATAATTGACAGAAATATTTTGCTGAAACAAGTGTTGATGCTTCAAGTTCTAATTAAATTTCCATCTGTATTTTTGTAATGCCTGAGTATAAATTCATAATATCTTTATGGAGATTTGCTTTTAAATAAAAATCAGCTAAATCAGTAGCAATCAAATAATGATACACTGTACCTAATAATCACGCAGTATATTTGATATATTCCAGGAACTCAAAGAATGGTGACAGAAGTAACATTATAAACTTTAGCTTTTAACAATCGTGAAGTTCATTTGTATTTTGCAGTGTCTCGCAATATAAAAGAAGAAACCATTTGAAGATTTGTCTTTATTTTATGATTTCTCACATCTGTCCAGTGTTACTTGTTCAATTACGTATATGCTTCTTTTTAGAACTCTTAAAGCGGCTGGATGATGCTGCACACGATGTACGACTGGCAGCTGCTCAAGCCTTAACTGACTGGTTTAAATGTATAAGAAATGATGATGAAAAAACTGTAATTAAAAGTAATATTGAGTTTCTTTACCGAGAACTGTTGATTCATCTGGATGACCCTGACCAAAACATCCAACGGGCAGTCTTAGGTAAGTCATTTAATGAGCTATAGGTTAATGAGCAATTTAGATTGAATATTCAGTGTTGGATACAAATAGGTGGGTGGGTGTATTTGTCCTCTCTGGAAACTAGATAGCTTCTTCTCATCCCAAAGCATCTTTACAGACACAGGAAGCACTAGTGACACCATTCATTCCTGTCCACTACTTGTTCCTCCTTTAAGCCCACTCTGGTCATACCTCTGCATACGATGTTCCACCATCTAGTCAGTGGTTGACCTTTAGGTCAGACTGACCTTGGTTGTGTTGCATTATTTTCTTTGGCACCATATCTTTAGTTTGTCTTCTACAGTGTCAGCACCATTGTAATCTTTTCAATTGCAGCCAATCCCATACCCTGCTTTTACACCCTACTCTCCATCTAACTTCATCATTTATTTTAAAATCATTCCACTTTTACACCTGCCATCTTCCAAACAACTCTCATTTTTACTGCCTCCAGCCTTCTGATGTCTGTTTCATTTAATGCAGCTGCTTCATTAGAGTAATACTGTTAATATACTGGCTTGATAAATTTTCACTTTGGTACCAACATGATGTTTTTCAGTCCATAATTTCATCAACATCTGTGCAGCATTTGTAGCTGAAGCACATCTCTTTTTAACCTCGTCCTTGATAGAACCATCGGCACTGATCAAGCTTCCTAGATGCACATATGATTTTACTTGTTCTACAGCTTCACTGCTGCTGCATTTCACCATTTTGTCTATTGTCCCTTTTCAAGATGCAACCACTTAATCTCCTTAGCATTTATTGTAAGTCCAAGTCGACTACACCAATTTTCCAAAGTAAGGAAGAGTATCATCATGAATTCAAAGGTGTCTGCCAGTTGTACAATGTCATCTGCATCAGCTAAAGAGCTTAACTCTAGATCACCCAATATCACACCCTCAAATTTGTCTAACATTCTTAATTCCCAGTTTAAGAACTTGGTGAAAAGTGATGGTGATTCCATGCCCCCTTGTCTTACACCAAACTTCAACTTGAACCAGCTGCTTAATTTTTCACCAATTCTTACGGCACTAGAGGAGATTTCGTACGTAACTTTTATAATGAAATTATCCTATCTGGGACTCCATATGGTTTTACTACTTTCCATAGTGCTTTCTTCCAAACCAAATCAAATGCCTACTTGAAGTCGATGAAAACAGCAAACATCGTTAGTCCCCATTCTTGCTTTTTTTCAATCAACTGTTCGAGCATGAATATCTGATCCATGCAACTTTGGACTGGTCTGAAGCCACACTGTTCCTCACCTACTACTTCCTCTAAAACTGGCCTTAATCTGTTAATTACTTTCCTCGTGATTTTCCCCAGCACTGATAATAAGCTTATACCTCTATAAATATTCAGACTGGTGAGATCTCCTTTCTTCAGGATTGGTACAACTAGTGTCTTTAGCCAGTTATCCGGTATCTCCTCTTGTTCCCATACCTTCTGGTATATTTTTCCAAATCTTGTGATAGCACTTGTCCGACTGGCATTTTTCACAGCTCAACTGTTATATTGTCTGTTCCTTCAGCTTTCCCATTTTTTAACCGCTTCCCTGCTCTTTCTAGTCCTCCTTCTGATGGTGGTTCAATACTGATATCCATTCTCCCTTTTAAGCTGCCCTGTTCATCTAGCTTGTATATAATGCTTGTATCTGGATGAACTACATGGTTCAGCACTTTGTCAAAATGCTCCTTCCGTACTTCCAGCACATCATCTGCATTTGCTGTCAGTTCAGCGGTAGCCTTGGTTACTGCTCACATCATTGGCCTAATTGTTTCCATACAACTTAACGTTCTTGTATATCACTTTCAGATCTTGTTTTGTTGACACCTCCTCTAGTTGTTGAGCCTCTTCTTTCCAGAACTTTTACCTGTCCGATCTTTGTGATTTCTTCTCCATTTTGCACAATTCTTTGACTTCTGCTTTCCCAGCAGGCTTGCCTTGTTTACGCTTTTCCTGTAATGGTTGCTTGTCCAGGTTTCCCTTGTTTGCTTACACCTTCTAATAACTCGATAGAGTAGGGAAATGTAATGGGGTATAGAACTTTTCACCACTAAGTCACTGCCTCAGATCTGTGAGAAGTTAGTCGTCACTGCAATATACTACCGTATGATAGCTGTTTCGTGGTCTACGTGAAATGAATTGGTACTTTCAGTCCATTTTCAAGCAGATGGTTATCAACATTGCAAATACCAATATCAGCAAAGGGGCTATCCATAATTTACATCATGCATTGGAGGGGTCCTTAATTTTCCATGTTTGTTTCAGTGTTACAAGGGGTAGGAGTGGGTCTTGAAAATCACCAGAAAATGTGTTATGTAATTTATGAACAGCCCCAAAGAGTACAGGGATTAAATTAGCATGAAGCCTGAATATTAGTTTCTCACCTCTAAATGTTGTCCTTCCAGGTCAGGTTTCAGGCACTTTGAAGCATATGTAGAGAAGGACATATCTTTTGATCATTATGAATGTATGTTCTTGTTTTACAGAAGTTTTAAAAGAAGGAAGTGTTTTATATCCAGAATTACTGGTGAAAGAAATAGAAGCAGTTGAACATAAGCATCGAACTCCAGCGTACTGTAATCAGCTACTACAGCACATTCAGTCAACCGGGGAGTAGAATTTCTGAGTCAGGAGTGGCAACGTTGTCTCTAAAGAGCCTTGTTTGAACTTTATATGAACTGGAATTGTCTCATTTTCAACTCTACAATAAAATAAGTTGAGCAATAGATGTGTGGCTTCTTTGCAAATAGTATCTTCTTTAAAAGTGAAATCAACACAGTCTGATATCTTGCATTGCAATTTCAACAGGACTGTGCATATTTACAATTAGTACTACAAACCAGAATGTTTTAATTTAATTAATTCCTTATTGAAAGTATTTGGGTTGGGACAAGAATGCTCTTTGTGAATTTATCTATCAATATTTATTGTTGAGAAAGCTAACTTTTAGTTTACAAACTAACCTCTATGTAATGTACCCTCAGGCCTAAAATTGTATTAGTGAAGCTCATGTAGGCCTCAATCCTGCAAGCTGCTGAGTACCTCAAGCTCTGGGAATTGCTCAACACCTTGCACAGCATCAAGCCCTGCCATTGCTACCCATGCTCAATTTAAATTGCATCAAGCAACAGAATTTTTACACCATTTTGTGTACTGATGCTCTTAAAGTACTGTATTAGTTAAAAACAGAGCAGCTGACCCAGCAAACACCGCAGAGTGACAAGCTTATTTTTTAGAGCAGCGCTATTCAAATTAAAGGTATATTAGTCACATAAGCATCATACTTGACAGCATTAGCAGAATAGGACCCTTAGTTTCCAACATGCCTCCGTTGTAACTAGCATCACATTTTGCAATGTTTAAAATAAAACCATTAACCCAGAGGGGAAAACGTTTATTTTTCCACAGTACTTGTAAATTGACTGAATCTCTTTGTACTACGTTTACTTCTTGCAGTATATAAAATGAGCCTATACTATTCTGAGCACATATGTCTTTTAAAAAATGCTTCGTATTGTCACTGTATTGCACTGTCTGAATAGAGAAGAATTTAATGAGAATATATTTAGAAATATACGATAAGGAATTAAGGATTTTACATGACATTAAAAACAATGCTCTTTTGTTACAAAAATATACTTAGATCAATAGTATTTTTATTTTTGTACTCGTTAATTACATGGCATCTGTATTTTTTATTGTTTACACTGTAGTGCCTTAAACGAACAAGAATTTTGTCTTTGGGTATTGTGTTAAATCTAATTTTAGGTAACCGGTTTGATCTTTTTTTTAAGATTTTCTTTTAGTGTATACAGTATGGTTTCTTTCTGTATGTTGCGCTGTATAACTAAAAACTATATTTACAGTGTCTTTGTGAATTATTATGGAGTGGTGTTCATTTTCCATGGAGGGAAATTAACCCTTAGTGGGCCATAAATGAGTTGACATAATGTACAGCAGCCTTGAGGTTCTGTTTTATGCTGGGGATCAAAATGGCTACTGGCAGCCCTCATGGATCAGAGAAGCACAAAAGTGTATAGCTGAGAATCTGGACCACTCTGACAGATACCTGAGGTTTCTTTAGCAAAGATTTTGTAGCTGATTATGCCAATAAAGTATTTTAATTGCATTGAAAAATAAAGGAAAACTACAGTGTAATTTTCACCAACTTTATTGACTGGTAAGAGCACAAGCCTTAGATACAATAATTTGCATTCAATTCTACCACCATCAGTGTCCATTTGGTTTAGCTCTTAAGGACTTCTTAATTAAATGTGCTTTGAAGGTAGATTTTTTTTTTTCTGGCAGACAGTAACCTCGTCTACCATTTTAAACTAGCAAAATCAGGTCGTAAACAAACAAAAAACAAGGTCTATTATCAAAGAAACATCTGAATGAAATAGAGAAACAAACAAGTTAGCTCTTATTCCTAACTTTTGCATTCTCTTGTATGAACGTGCACGCTGAGTAGGTAGATGTACTAATATATGATCTGCATGTACAAAAAGTCAGTTTGCATATGAAAATAGGATAGGCCCCTTTGGCTGTAAGAATCTAACAAAAGGGACTGGAGAATCCACTAGTTGCTTCCCTTCCCCATCTCTCACCATAGAAAGAATGGTATCTTAGTCACTCCTCTTCTGACATGGGATTATTCTAATCCTAAACCATATACACTCTCAAGCAGAAATCTCTTCTAAACTGAAGTTCCACTTTCCATCCACTAGAGTTCCCTCTGCAGAAGCCAAAATTTAGTTCCTCCCCCTGCTTCTGGAACCTGCCTTCAAAACTAAACAGTTGATCCAACTATTCTTAATAGGTTCTTATACCATGCTCATCGCTGTAGTATCTGAGCTCCTCTTGGAGGAGGACTTGTGGTGATTCACTGTAATTTTTCCTGATGCCGACACCAACTATTGTTCTGGGAATACTTTTGCCCAGCTCTATTATTCTTATTTACACAGTGCTGTAAGCATACATTTGTGTTATATAACAAGTAAAATGTGTCAAATGAAGTCCTGCACTGAAAAGCTTAGATTCTAAAAGAATGAGTTTATTACAAACACAGAGCAGTGAGTGGTGAGACATTGTGGAACAGGAGGGTTATCAGATGCTATTTGAAGGTGGAAAGGGAGGTGTGATGTACGTGGGATGTCATATTTCACATAGTTGTGAAATAGTTATACAACCATCCTACTAAAGCATATGTCACTTGTGTACCATACTGAAACTTCAGAAGCCAAGGAAATGTATCAACGAACTACTAGCAAACATTAGTCTCCTGCAGTGTACACCAAGTTCTGTTCCCCAGGCATCAGCACAGACCCAAATTCTAACTGTAAAGTTTTCTTAAAGACCTGCCAGATAATGCAACCACATTGCAACTTCTGTGCCAAAGACACAACTTCTTAAGAAAGCATCTACAATGGCAAAATTCATACTTCTTTATTTTACTAGTGGCAGCAATCATGTAGATAGTGTAGATATTGAGCAGGTATTTTTACCACTGTATCATTTAAATAAAGGGTATTTTGAGACCTGGCTTCACTTGAGATGCTGAGCTAGGGAGAGAGAGAGATGTACCTTCTTTGATGGAAGTGAAATATAGTTAAAGTTTCTCCAGGATGTCCAAAGCTTGGTGTCGAAAGTAGCCACTTCGAAAGCTCAAGCGTCAGCCTGATCACCCATCTTGAGTTATTTGGGAAAGGTTTGCTGTACATACAAATGTCAAATGTTTCTTTAGCAAGGCTTCCACAGGAGAGCCTTTTTGCAAGCGTACAGAGCTAAGTCCCTGACTCCTCCATCTAGTTTCTGGACTTATTCCCTCTGAGCCATGGTGGCTTCATGAGCTGAACATGCCTATGTTCCTTACAAAGAAATTTTTAAAGCAACAGTTAGATCCTCCCAGCATAACACTCACCATGTTCCACAAACTGGACATCCTCATATCCTCCAGTGTGTCCTTTGGATGGTGAATGCTCCAAGCGATGGTCCCTCAGTGAGGAGAAATGCACATGTAAATGATTACCTCAGAGATAAGGGGTGCTACTAGTTTTATCTATCCCAATTTTTCCAAAGCTCTCTAAAAACAGATCCTGCTATTAAAATCCCATCCTGGAGGATCTGTAGACCTGGATTTGCAGGGAAATGGGAAAATGTATCCTCTTTTCTGAAAAATTAATTTATTAGAAAATCCTGGTCTATAGATTCAACTTTTATTGTGTTGGTTGGGATGCAATTGAAATGTATTCAATTGTTTCTGTTTGGCTAGTTCAGCTGTTCTACCTGCTCGGGTTTATTGGGGATTTTTGGATATTTCTTATGGCAATATTTATCATGTAACTTTCAATCAAGAGTAATTTTTCCTGGCTGTGAAAGTTATCTCCAGTTGGCAGACTCTTCAGAAGGGTGTGGTTACCCTTGCACTGCCTGTGACGGAGAGCAATGGTTCTGCATTTTTCTGCAGTGCTGGCTATAGGACCTGTCTTGAAGAATCTTTGGACCTGGATTCGCAAAGAAAGAAAATGTTCGGTAAGTGGCATGCATTTTTCTCACTGGATGTGATGTCTTCTATATGTTTGCCTGCTTCTGAAGTAAAATTAGGAACTGGGGCATTAAATGAGTGACAGTAAAGAACCCCAGACAGACATAGAGACTTCAGTAGCATAGCCCCTGTTGGTGCTGATCTCTAGAGACACAGGACATGTATGACAAGTACTATGATGTCAAATGGCTGTATTGAAGTGTTGCCGCATTCTGTCCCCACCCCCATCCTTTGACAATATAACCCTAGTGGCAGTTACCACAGACTCTGACTTCTTCTTGAACACTTAAATATTTTTGATGGTTTATTGTGATACAATGCAGATTTTCTGAAGCTGTTTGTTTGCATTTTTGGCTTTGTCTGCCTTATCTGCTGACACCTTGCCTATTAGCTGTTTAGTTATAACCACAGATGGGTGTTGACTTCTCTTGATTTTATTTTTAAATGAAAAGGGGGTTTTTTAATCAGAAATTTCTCTATAACATGTAGTGAAGTTCACTTTCAGAAAGGAGTTTCTGAATAATGATCCAATTCCCACAGAAGTCAGACGAAAGACTCCCACTGGCTTCATGGAGAGTTGGATAAGTTCCCCAAAGAGCAAACCTTGGTCTTATTAAATATAACCATTAGTTAAAAACTTATTGGAACATCTGGAACTGAATGCTAGTGTTCTTATTGGTTGACTAGCAGGCCTTATCTCACAGATAAAGCCCATTTAATTGTAAACAAAATAAACCAGTTAAAGCATTGCCCGGGATAAAGGGTGACATCCTGGCCCCACTGAAGTCAATGGAAGTTTTGCCATTGACTTCAGCAGGGCCAGGATTTCATCCATAGAATCTTTCCAGGGGGTCTGTAGAGTAGGGAAGTGAGTAACTGCTAGCCGCTCTAAAGGACAGCAGGTTTGAGCTTGAGTTTTTGGACACATGATGGATTGGAGCCATAGCCCTTACATGTTTAATTATATGGAAAACAAAGACAGAGTATAAAGCATGGCCATTGGAATGTGTATTTATTATTATCATTTTTTCTAGTACAAGTATTTTTATTAAGTTTATTGTACAAAGGATAAATGAAGCCAGCAATTTTTTTTAAAGGTTAACTGCTATTCAAGAAATGGCCAGAGTACGTTCCTTGGTGTGAAGGTTACACTACAAAACCCCACTCATATCATAGCAGGAGTAACGCTGGTGAAAGAGATGTCCCCAGCAATGCTGAGTTTGGTGATTTCATTCAGGTTCTTCATCCGGTAGTTGAACTGCAGCAAGTGAGCATCATTGACAGCTACCTTGAAATGATCTGTCTCACACAGAATGTGGATCTTAAAAGGTTTGCCAGCTTCAAATGGAAACCTGGGAGAGGTTCGCTCCTCCTTTCCCCAGTTATTCTGAATCATTGAATTTATTATTAGGGAGCTGAAGGATCAACGAAACGTACAGTCGGTTAACAGGCTTGTGTCCACTTACTGAGATCAATTCCCCAGGAAAGTTTAGCAATAGCAGTAACTGAACTGAAGTAGCAGAAGAGAGGTATCAGGAACAAGGCCGCTCCGCCAGCCTTCATCATCTGTAATCAGCTTTTCTTGTTAACATCTGAAGTCCCCTTTAAGTCAGGATGATGGCAGGATCTCATAGTAAAATAGCACTGAAGGGATATGCACCCCCATTTCACTGATGACCTGATTCCAGGGTCTGAAGCAGCATTACCTTTGGCTGACTTCACTGATGGCACAGAGAAGGGGACCCTGTCAATTTAATCATATGGTGTCAGAAACAAAGTTCTTTGCCTGTAACACTAACAACTCTCTGATTTACTTTATTTGTTTATTCTGGTTGATTATTTTGTGGATTCCTCAGTCAGTTTCACTTTTACTTGCATTTGATTTCACTTTACTCACTGCTGCATTGTTTTAGATGCAAGAAACTTCAGAGGAATGTTTATTTGGTTTAAAACTGTTTCTATTCTTTTTTTTTTTAAATCATGGACTATATATATAAGCTTCTTTTGATCAAAGTGGCTCTTTCTGGTCTTAGAATCTATGAATCTTTAACAAAATCTAAATATTTGGCCAAAATTGACTCAACAATGTCCCTAAAACCTGAGGGCTGTATCCGCACAACTGAGGGGCAAAGGCAAAGTTGGTGCTGAGTCACCTTTCTTCACCATCCCTTGTTCCCCTGATGTTGGGGCTGGCCAGTGGCCAAAAGGGACTCCAGCACAAGTTGGAGCAGCTATGAGTGCTGGAACAGTTTCCTAAGGCCCATTCTACACTCGGCGTTGCCAGAGCACAGCGAAGTCCAAGCCCATCCAGAGA